TCGTGAGCTTACTCCAAGCTACAGTACCGGACCGATTCTTGTCGACGCCGCACTTGACATGCGCCCGCAGACTCCGGCACAAAGGCCAGTCAGCAGAGGCCTTTTTACCACCACTAATCGGAAGCAGGAAGCACGCGCCGTTCGAGTTGCGGAGCCACGTATTGCTGCGGGGCGATGACCGGCCGGCCCGGCTAACCGGGACTGATGGCTGGCGGCCAGTTTCGAGCGAACTTTTCCAGCCGCTTTGGGCCATGGCGATACGTGAGCCTTGTTCTGGCCTCGTGGCCAGCGGACGGCGCTGAGACTTTTACAGCTGCGAGCGCAGCTCCAGCGGTCTGCTTCCGGGCGCAGCTCATTCCGGGATGTAGTGGGCACGGCCAGTGACGACATGCACGTCGCATTACCGCAGCATGCACGACTGTGGCGTTGCATATGCGAAGCACCTTCAGCCCTTCAGAACACGTGCTTGCCTTCGGTGGCGAACACGTATTATATTTTTGCGATTCAAAGCAAGCGTACGGGCTTTCAGCATGAAAGCCGAGCTACAGCTTGGAATGTGTCCAAGGTAACGGTGCATGTTTAAAAAGTGCCGCAGCGCTTGCTGGAAATGGCTCTATGTTAGGAGCAATGTCCAAATTTGAAGTTAGTAGTAACGAGCACTGCCATTCGTATCATGCAACCCTCTCTCATGAGTTTTTGTAACGTGCTTGAGCCTCTTCGTCACGTGAATCTGACGTAAAAGATATTAATAGTGATAAAAATGGAAGATAAAAGTGGAACAGACTTCATTAACAAAGTCCTTGCTTGCTGTGAAATTACAGTAAATAGATAAAGTCCTATGCTGACAACTCACAAATTAGAGGCATAAATGAACGCCAAATAGCCGAGATGCTGCTATGAACTGTTTCTAGCGCATCCCATTGCAGAAAAATGCAGTTCTCGCCGCTGCCAAAATCATAAATAACATTCGTATAACATAAGTTGCAAACACCGCCTCGATAACTTTTCACCCTCTCTTCTTAACAGCAGCGCAATATAATCTTGGCTTGTCTTCTGCACAGATCAGTATTCAATAAAGGGTGGGCTACAAGGGCAGCACCACTGGTGCTGGTCAAGTGTGGGGATGGGGGATGAACGTGTCTCCTTGTAGTCTTCACACTGCCACAGCACTAGGCACATGGAAAAGTATACCTCAAAGGCCATCCGTTGCCTACAGTCATCAGTTGGTTACTACGCCGTTGGCTTATGTGGCTGACCCTGTGCCGCCCTTTTGTCACGACCTGAGAGTCATGGGGTTGAGTTCCGTCGGCAGGGCGCACATTTCTTCCAGTGAGATGTTCATAAAACGAAAGCTTATGACCGGCCAAGATCTTGCGGCGCTGGTTACACATGCGAAGCAGCAAATACCCCAACACTGGATAGCACGTGTTCTGATCATGGCATACAGAAGGTTAAAAATCAAGCTTGCACGACCACAGTCACTGTATGTCGAAACTTAACAAAGGTGAAATGATTCAGGACGAGAAGAGCAATGTCTGTCTCATGCTAGCAGGATAAGAAATTTGATCGGAAGGGCTTGGGACCGAAATGCCTATGCAGCCATTGTTCAAGCTCACGGCTTTGTTAGTACGCCCGAGGTACGCTCGACAAATGGCGACTCACAAAAACGAAGGTGGGAAGCAACTGTCAAGCAAGCACATCACGCCAGAACGAGACAAGTCTTGACTAAGACTACTGCACATGGCACGCGCCCGGTCTCACAGATCACGATAAAAACGGCCAACCGGGACGCACAGGTGATCTTGTTTGAAACGCGATCTCAGCTTCTTCCGGCGGCACACAGATACATCAGCTGAGCGCGCCTCCAGCGCTGACAGAACGAACGGAGCGCAGAAAGCTGCGACGAGAGCCCTACCGCGAAGTCCGTTTTTGCGCGAGCCTGAACATGAGCACGCAGGTGCATGCAATTCGGCGAGTTCAGACTGCAGTGACTCCACTTTTACACCCGACCTAAGCGGTGGGTCCTTCCCCTCTGGCGCCATGGGTGGTGCGTAGGGAGTCAGGACCCGACGGACTTCATTCATTCGGCCCAGCCAGATGTTTATTTATCGTCAGCAGGGGGACAACGTCTGGACACCGTCACCGGAAATGGTGCTCAGCCTCCTCCCCTCTCCTCCGCGCGGAAGGCTCGCTCGCCGCAAGGCGGCCGAAACGTTCATCCAAGCCCCCAGGTGCTCTGAGTCAGGGGCACGTGCAATGTGCACTGCATCACACTTCATACATATTGTCAGCGCCCATGAAACTGCAAATATGATTACCTGCCATTGGCATCGCAAATGAACCCATTTGAATGCATGAAGTCATTCATCTTCAATCCTCATCGGGAGTCCAACAAAAAACTGACCGCTAACAATGCTCTCATTCCGGGCCATGGCGATCAAAGCGCCGCCAGGTCAGGTATCGCCTAATGCGCGCGCGCCAGGTCACGTCTCGGCGGCCGGGGGCAGCGGCCTTGGCGACGGCGGCGGCGGTGTTTGTTTGTTCTGCGTCGGCGCGGCGCCGGTGGCGTCTGGCCGACGGGATCAGACGGTCCGCCGGCGGCACCGCTAGCCCAGGTCAAACAGGCGCCGACGGAACGCGATTGGTCGGCGCCGCGCCGTGTCAGCAGTCGCCCGCGGCGGTCGTCAGCAGAGCGCGTGCCACCGACGGGGTCGGACTGGCAGCCCAGGGTCGTGCGTGTTTGCCCCTGCCGCATGCTCGTTACCATGGCAGCCGATCACGCTGCAGCTGGTTGAGGTCACGGGAGAGGGGGGGGGGGGGGAGGGGGCGAGGGCAAGATACAGTAACAGCACTTTTGCGCCTATTGGCAGCGACGACTGTCCATTTCCAATCAGTGATGGATGGCATACGCCTATTGTCGGGTAACCTCCGATTACTAGGAAGGTAAAAGGCGCTTGTTGAATCTCAGTCTCTCTGGAGCTTTTTATGTTCTGATGTAATCGCAGGGGATAACGTCAGAAAGTGTGAGCAGAAGCGGTGTCTTTTCTCGGAGGAAGCCGACTGACCTTGACGCATTCCAGTTCAACCGTAATAACCCAAACCAGAAAGCAACATAAACTACTAAATTTCGATGGTTTCTTTGAAGCAACTCCCAGCTTTCATTACACCCTTCATCCCGGCACTAAACGTCCTCCATGATGCGTATTCTTTCCCTCAGCCCTGTGAGCGGCGCTGAAAAGGGCTCTTTACGGTCGCCGGCTGAAGGAGGCCATCATTGTTCCGGGGCCGGTCCCGTGTGGGCTCCTAAGAGGTGACGCCCCGCGGTCCGGGGACAGCCGCGGGTCCCGTGTGGCCGGCGCAGACCCAGGGTGGTCGCCCTCCCAGCGAGTGCGCAGTCGGTGGTGACGAACATCGGCGGCTCGTATGGCTCAGTCAGCTGGAATTTGGACCAGCTGGCCGCAGGGCGTTGCGGGTTGACCTTGGTGAACGCGTCACATAACTCTGAGAACCAGACTATAAAATGAACTAGATCACGGAGCTTTATCAGCTGAGATGAGTTGAGCTAAGCCCCAGGAGCGTTTTGAGCCAGACGTGACCGATGAGTTCACGGTGGGCAGTTGGGCAGCTGTGGACAGACGAAAAAGACCTGCGCCCCTACCACGCACACACAGAAACACACGTCCAGCATTAGGCTAATTCATTACACACCAAACTTGATGCGGACGTTGTTTCCAGCAAGGATCCAGCCATTTCCAGCGAGGGTCCAGCAAATGCAAATCGCAACGTTGCCGCCCATAGTAGGAGGGGTTTCCGGAAAAATTAAAGTCATGCCTCACGCTGGTAGCATGGCGTGTAAAGATACACTTCAGCGGGGGTTGATTTGCGTGCCGACACGCTCCCAATTTTGGACGGTCCATTGCGTGCAGTCATGCGGGCGTCTGCTGAAGCGGTCGCTTTCAGCGCGGATAGGGATGGCACCTGTGATAGTTGCTGTTACAATAAACCAGTAGCACTTGCCTAAAAAGGTTCGTTTCAAGAAATTAACAAAGTGCTGCAACAGCCGATGCAGGTAGATGATCGGCTCCTCTGAATATGACCATCAAAACTCTAAAGACGGCAGTTTAATACTAAAGTGAAGGGGTTCCAGTTTGGCGCAAAACTGTAATACGATTGCAGTTCTGCAATATCGTACACGCCTCAATAAACGCACCCGCATGACATGATCCAAAACAAATATCAGAACGAAGTGAGAAAAAACGGGCTGCACGCATCTAGCAAAGATAAAAGATCTCTCCTGAAAGTGCGCACCACTGCACACCGCTGTACACAGTCATGACTGTTGCAACGCGCCGTCTGAGGGGCGGCGCGTTCTTGTTGCTTCACCGAAACCCCGACGCCGAGCCAGGCTCACTGCAATGTCAACTGGGAACCGAATGTGTGCTGCGCTGCGCACCGACGGCTGCGTTGCCGGCGATGCCCAAACAAGAGTTCCATTTGACACTGACCCTAGGCAGGCCTGCCAATCATGTTTAGAAGCGTATGGGGCCTGGTGACTGGAGCCATGCAGTCACCGATTGCAGTTAGAGGACAATAATTGCACGACTATTTGTCCCGCACTGTTTGTTTCTGTCACGCTGATGGATGCCCTGTGCCTTGAACAGGCTTAAAAGAAACCATTCGGATGGTTTATGATGCTCTTGGCGAGATGTTCGAGATAAACGTAGGACATGTAGGGCGATTTTAAATCTTCCCGAGACATGTGACCCCAAAGTGTCTTTAAGTCATATTACACCATTTTCTTGTTGCGGAACAGAACAAAACTACTAAACTTAAATGATGCTTGGAGAAACCTTTTGGATGCAACAACTAACATTTTTAGCGGCACCTCCAGGGACTATTTCCAGTGACTATTTCTGGCTTTATCGCTCTAATGATCACACACACAAAGACACATGTAACAGCAGAGGATGTGCAGATACCATGGTGGCGAAGGTACTCACGATGACGTCCATGGCGGTGATGCTGTTGTCGGCGCACTGTGTCAGCAGCTCCGCCGTCAATGGTCGGGTCTCCCTCAGCTTAGAGCTCACAAACAGACAGACTGCCCCCAGAAGTTGCAAGTGGCCCTTTTTTACGTTCGTCACACTGAGGAATCTGTCCAACAGGTTCATGGCTAGAGGGAAGACGTCATCTTGGCAGCGTTGTTCCTCGCATACCTGAAAAGGCGGGTTCTGTACTCAAGAGAAAGGTAAGCACTTTGACCTTCTGCTGGTGTTTGTAGGGCCTGATTTGCAGCCAAGGGAAGCGGTACTGCACACTATTTCAACAAATCCACGCCATGGGTGTAAGGCTGCAGTGATTGGGTGGCAAAATGTGATACCTGTCATATCAGTGATACCAGGTGACACAGCAGTGAAATCGTGCAACCAGCCAAAACACTGTAAATTAAACAAGGAAGTTGCAAAAACTCATCGCGGAATAAGTCTGCCTTGAAATGGGGGGGGGGGAAGCTACACCTCATAAACATATCGCATTGATTACATTCATGCATTGTCAAACGACTCTGTTCTGCTTACAAGACTTTGGCACATGACGACGCTATTTGAGAGACTTTCGACTTATCACTAGTGTGCTATCTCTTCTGTCGAGATAGTTCAGTTTGTTACCACATTCAGCGCGCCCGTTCGACACCGATAAGGAATCAAGATCTTTGCCTGCCACAACCACTCACCTCCACCATCCAGTACGCCAGGATCCTCCGCATTGGCAGCTTCACCTCGTTCTGCACGCACTTGAAGTAGGAACAGGACGGCAGGTAGCGACTCTCCGAGTCGAGCAAGTTGGCCAGAACTCGCCTGTCGTTGAGCAGGGCCGGGTCACGAATGGCCTTGCAGACCGGCTCTGGCCGCAACACGCCTGCCTCGCAGCAGAACAGACTGCTGGCGAGGTCACACTCCATGACTGTCCAGCGGCGGCGGCGCCGACAGGTGCAGTCGGCCCGACGCCTGCTCCTGTTGGCGCTCCCCCGTCCGCGCCGCTCTCGCTCTGTCAGCGGGGGCCGTTAGAAGTCGGTCCGCCTCTGCCTGGCGGAAGACCACCAGCTGCTGGCCGTCCTGAGTCCTTTCCGATGTTCCTTCTCCGTTCAGCAGCGGTCCGCTCCGAGCTCCTTTCCGTCTTACGGGATTTTGTTGCGAAGTTCCTCACTCCTCCCACAGGAATCTTCTCCGGCGTTTTTCCTCCGTCCCACAGCAGTTCCTCCGGCCTTTCTACTCCGTACCACGGAAGTCCCCTCCGGTGCTGCTCCTCCGCGCCACAGGGGATTCTCCTCGACGCTTGTCCTCCGTCTGGCAGGAGTCTGCGCGACGCTCGTCGCCTCGACGCCGGCCGTGGACTGGACGGGTGGCCGTGGAAGAAAGCGCCCGGCCGGGCCGGGGCCGGGGCCGGGGCCGTGGCGAGCCCGGGCGGCCGGCCCCCCAGTCGGCCAGCAGCGGCGCAGGGACAAGCACGGCCGACGCTGGCGCCCGGACCGACAAGGGCAGGCGGGCGGCAACGCAGGGGAGCACGAGCAATGTTGTTCATGGGGTGTCCGGCCCGACAACGGAGGCAGGCGTCTCTGATTCAAACAAAATTGGGACCATCTTCCAAGGACGAGAGAATCAGGACGGCCATGTCACTGGGGCTTCACGACGTACTCGGCTGCTGAGGTCATATGACGTCGCCTGTCTCTCACGCTAGCAGGAAGGGCGGACACGGCGGGGAATCGAACACTGGACCTCTGGTTTCCGAGAGACGCAGCTTTGCCACTACACTTTCGATGCCCCGGATAAGGGCCGGCAACCACCAGCGCTCTACGTGTTTGAGTTTACAAGACGAAATGTGTCGAGCTCACACCACAGGAACACCATTCTCTTACAAGTTTTTCACTCAACTTCAGCTGCAAGCTTTATGGTCATCCCGCTGTATTCTCAGTTGGTATGGTGTTAGAGCTTGAATCTATCTTTTGGGCGACACCTCAACTCGACTCAACACGCTTCATACAAGTTCGCCGGGAACCAAACAGAAAGGCGCGTATTTGGGGTTTGGATGCATGCATCATATTGGGCGTTTATTGTTAAGTGCATTTTCGATGAATATCATGTATACAGATGAGGCAGTGTCAATGGCCTTATTCATCGCAGAATAAATAGGAGAATGAAAAGACAGGTGTATCGCCTATCTCTTCATGTTGATTCTAGGGGGAATAAGGCTTTCCACACTGTCTCATATATTGGGCGTTCAGATGAATCAGAAGCAATAGCAAGGCACCGTAGTTAGGAGATCCAGAGGTAAATACGCGAAGTACGAATAAGAAGAATACAAGACTTCACTACGAGGATAACAATACCCCTTTGGAGAGCTTACCCGAGCACTATGATAGCCTCTAGAAACGACACTGTTCGTCGTCACTTACCCGTGGGTGATGCGCGAAACGCTTTCGTGCTGCATTCAATATTACGCAATACGTGAATGCTTTCGAACATCTTAACAGTTTTGCACATTTTTTAATGATCAATGTCAGTTATTTAACTTCTTGAAGCTTATATTTGCGCACAAAACGTCTTTAATAATTCCAAAATGTTTGGAATAGCTCACGCAGCAGGCAATCATGAAAGCAGCTAAAACTTCATCTAGTGGAGAAAAGTGTCAGCTGTCTCCTATTTAATCGTACATTTACTTGACGTTCGGTTGCTTTCGTTGCCATATAAGAGTGTGTGTTCAACAGCGCTGTATTTCTCAAACGTTCTGAAAAACGAAATCAATATAATCGTCGACATTGCGAGAAAAGCAGAGCAGGCATAGGGCTTTTCACATTCCTATGCTTCTTACTGCTCAAGTTTACTAATCGGCGCTCATGGATACCACAAATCGTTGCCGCACCAAATGCTGTCATTCCAGGATGCTGATACGTTAAACGGCCTATTTACCGGGCCTCCGACAGCCTGTTCCAAGTGGCACAATGAATGGAACCCGCCTGTGGTGAGAACAATCAGCACACAGAGAGGACCAACAGTGGCATGCCAGTGAAATTGAGCTTCAAAGCGGCGCCGCGCGCTAGTAATGCGATTTTGTTTGGCATGGTTTTGTGTCCCTGGTCTGCTACACGGACTACTGCTGGCCGTGTTCGGGGTCACCACGGATTGACCTGACAACGGTCAGAGAACATTCAACCGACCTAGGGGCCATGCCAGAGTTCTGCTCTGGTGCCTCAGTTGGCCGGAAGAAGAATGACCAAAAAGTTATCCGCATATGTACCTACAGGTAATGGCCAGAGAGCAGGCATTTTTTTGTGCCGGACAGAATGCGAGCATGTAATCATATTAGCATGCTTTCTAGGGAACTACATTCAACCACTACCGAATCACACATGCTTTTTTCATTTCGTCCAACAAAATGAATTCGATTACTAGCAGAAGTTATACGATTTCCAGCGTTTCCTCCAGAGCTGACGATAACTATGCAGCAGAAACACTTATTTAATTGGAGCACCCAAGTCCAATTTCCTGACCTTGAAAACACGATAAGTCTTCAGTGCATGCCATGCTGATGTCATCAACAGCGATAAGAATGACGTCACGGCTTTCAGAGCATCATCCCGGACTGTATTTGAACAACAACTCTGCTTCGCACGCCAAGACGGTGCCTTTGATATCTGCTACCCATCCCAAAATCCAACCGCAGCTGTGTATTTACTTAAGTAAACAGGAGCGTGACGTCACCTTCTTCAGCGATTGACGCCATGTACACTGCGAGTTAGCAACGCGGTCTGCTGCCATTATGGAAATTTTGCCATCATTAACGCCGTTTGACAGAAATAAACAGTGAGACTATTGCTGTTGTCGATGTGGTCTATTTATATCTTCTACATGACTGAGCATCCAACACCGGATACATGTGTCGATTCGTTTAAAGGATTAGGAAAGGGCAGGGGGAGGGGGGCAACCGACGGCCTGACAATCTAACCTCCCTCAGAATTTTGTTTGTTAACTAATTTGGCCCAGTATATGGAGAAGAAGAGCAATCATTTTGGTTACATTTTTGATCATTACGAAACAGGCCATTGTATGGGCGACGTAGTAGCCATGGTCATCAAATACTGTCGAGTACACCAGTGTTTGCTTAACGTTCAGTTGTTCTTAATTTTGGTAATATTCCACCACGAATATCGGACATTCCAACGAACATTAAGGGGCCCAAATCAACATTAGGGGGATGCGGGACAGGGCCCTCAAAAAACATTTATCGACAGCCATGTGCAACGGTGGAACATTTCTTTTTACCATAACTGCCGAACGGCTGTGTCCATGATTTCAGCCTACATCTTGAGAGGCTCGGCATTTGCTGGGCAAACCGTGATGCAGGTTTATAAATATGGGTTGTGACGTGACGCGCGTTGACACTATTTTGACAGGCCACATTCCAAACATCAACGAAACAAGTACAAAGGCATGTCAAATGCTTATCTAAAAAGCTAGTGCGAAAAAAGGCATTCAATTAACATCGGTTTGCATGCGAAACCTAATAAGACGAGAACCCTCTGCTATGGGTGACATTAAGTTCGGAATGTTTTTCAGCTATCTATCAGCACACGAGCCCTATCCAGCATCACAGGTCGCGGGGACGCTACCCTTCACCACGCACTCACTCTTCTCGCGAGGCTCTCGTTGGACTCCGGCAGAGGCTGGAGCATCGCCCACGGCCGCCTGCGCCGCATTCCGCCGTGTCGCCGGCTATCGTGGCGAACAAAGAGCAATGTGTGCGTCAATTACGGCCGCCCGCTGCCCACCGTCGGCGCACGTTTTTAGTGGCCGCGACCACGGGAGGCCTGCTGATTGTTGATGGAAATTAGCCGGGGGAAGGTGTCGTGGGATGACTGATAGCGCGCGCTGCCGGACAGGGGGCCCCCAGCGGCCGGCAGGCACCCGGCTGGATCGACCGGCCAGGAATGTCACATGGTGTTAAAGATATCGCTATCGCGCTAAACAGGTGTGCGTCTCCTCTGGTTTGGTTAATGACACGGTCAGTGTATGTGACAGGCTGAAGGCGTCGAAGGGTTGCTGGAGGGCGTGGGTCTGATGAGAAATTTCCGCATGCTGGTTTGAAATATTTGACGATCGGCATCGAACATTTGTTTTGTGGAAGGTATTTTTAGTAGATAACATGCAAGATAAGCAAAGCAACAAATTCCGATAACTGTCAAAATGGCTCACTGTGATATTCTGGGAACTAGGAAACAAATCAGAAAAAAACATGGTGGGATTCATTTGAAGTCGCTTTATGACGGTGCTTAAAACCTCTTCACACCAAACTTCGATAAGAGGCGATGCTCAGATCTCTAGATGCGCGTACCCATCAAGAGACACTAGCCGAGCTTATCTGAGCACTGCCCATTGGTTTCAGCTGGCCCTCGCCATGCGAATGCCCGTTGCTGTTAGAATCGGTAGTTGTAAAAAATTAGCGAAAATACGAGCTACACAGCATATAATCTACAGGTATTAACGCTATTCAAAACGCTTGAATTGATCATGCGGTGAGCAAAGGACGAACCACTGCCGCGTGGAATTTGTGTTTCCTCAGCCATGTTCTGACTAAATCAGTATCTCGTTAGATGTCTGTGGCCCAGCCCCTTCTCCTGCACAGGGTACAGGCGTTTCAGCCGGGGTAAGCCCATGACAGCAGTCGTAGAACATGCCGTCTTGCCCACCTTACCCCCACGAACGATAGATCGCCGTCCTTGCCAGAACAAACGCCTGCAGGTGCAGAGGCCGCAGACGTGTTATTGACAGGGTGCACCTGCCTTGGGGCCGGGGTTGGTGACCTGCGCCAATGGCTTCTTGCACTGTGCAGACTGGACTTGGGCTGACGTCAAGCGGGGTTGTATAATTTCAGGGTCATTATTGGTCAACAGCCTCTGGAGGAAGACAGACGTTCGTAAATAGCTGAGATCCCAAGCAACTTTGGATTGATAACTTATCAGAGTGAGGGTGATACGTGATTTTTCACCAAAGGTTCACTGCACAAACCAGATGCATAATAGGATCAGGGAATAATAAAACGCCCAAATGCTTGTATGAACCGTATTTTGAGTTTATCACTTCGATCTCCTGCCGCGCCATGCCCGTTTTTTATTGCTCACTCTGACCCTCACCTGGTGATCCAAACGGAAATAGCCACGTCGCATCAGCTATTTCAGGATCATCGTTGTAAGTAATTGATTCATGGCATCGAGGGCGTACCAAATACTAGGGATACAATAAATGAGAAACAAAGCGCCGGCAGCGACATTCTCACGACGACTGTTAGCTTATCAACGTGCGTTGCTCTGCTTTGCTCCAC